ACTTATCTTTAGGATTTCCTAAATTGAAAATTATGTTGACTGTTCCTTCATAGTAAGATGCCTTGATTCCTCAGACCACCATCCCAGCCCTTTTGTTTTTGGTATCTATCATATTGGCAAAAAATTCCTTCACCACTTAAGTGTTGTAAGGAAAATGTTATTGACAAAACTTAATCCACTTGTTTGCTTATATCATTGTACTCGTGTCTCTAAGGAGACCTAGGTTTTCTTCTTGTTTTTCCAAAATGAAACCTCCTTCAGAGAGCATGCTCATTTTGGAAAAGTAGTTTGAGAATCTTTTGCCAGAATTAATATTGATAAAGGTCTCACTATCATAGCCACCATGATTATTTTGATAGGTTCGTCCACTCCTACACATATCTTCATAGAATTCAGATGCTTCCTCACCCTGTTGGACACCAATTGTGTGGAGGTGGTTGGTTCTTCCCTGGATAACACCACTTGACCTGTGGACCTCATCATGAAGAGACTAAAGTTGTGCAGTAGAAGTCGAGCAAACAACTCAAATTTGGTTTTTTGAGTATCCAATCTTGCATTAACCAACCTAAATTTCTCATTTTGAGAAACTTGAAAATCAGTACATCATTGCACTTCAGTTGCACGCCATTGCACTTCTTCTTCATAACATTGATTTTGTTGAATCTGCATGTTCTAGAGCAAGCTAATAATCTCAGAATTATTTCCTTTATCAGGCCCATGTCTGTTTTCATGTGAACCAGAAGCATATTCATAAGAACCCCCATCATATCCTCTATAGTTTTCTCCCTGCTCAGTCCAAGAGTTTTGTTGCCAATTTTTTGTCCAAGGTTGGTCATACTTATGCTGATGAGCAACAAATGCATTCATCCAGACTTCATCTTCCTCATGATTTGAATTATCCATGGGACTGTCTCCTTGATGAGCACCATTTATTTCTTCAGCACCTTCATCAATCCCTTTCTCATCAACAACATCATAGAATTCAGCAGGATCATTAAAATTATAAATTTTCCGCTTTGTTTGAGGAACTAAGTAATAATATGCTTCCCTAAGTGGTTCCTAATAGTATCTCAAATTAGCCATGGTTCTCTTGGTGAATTCCAAACCTTCACCTGGATAGATAAAAGGAAGATTTAGGCAGCCAATATTGAAATAGTTGAGTATTTTAGCTATCATAGATGAGTAGCTAAAATTAGTCCCTTCATTGCATATTTTGATAGTGAACATGCGAGATACAAAATAATACGGCTAATTTATCTTAATCTAGTTGAGAAGAAGATAAACTAGATGTATCTCAGCAATGTTGACTCTTGAGAAACCTCCTCCCTTAAGATGCAAGATATGTGTGACAAACCAATGCAATATGTGGGGCAATCTCTTAAGGTACGCCATAGTAATTGGCTCATTGTTGTTGTTATCTCTTAGAATTTTTAATTGATCATTAGAATGCATTATCCACTTGAAATCATAATGAACTCTTGAGTTCATAACCATTGGCTCATTTCCTATTGTAATTCAAAAAAAAGTTCTCCATATATCGTTTGTAAGAGTGTAAGATTTACCTCCAATAACAAAAGTGAATTCAGACCTTACCTGCTTGTGCAATTGGTCGCGAATTTAAGAGTCTATCGGGTTTACTAATTACAAGTGCACAATCTAATCACGTAGTTTTAAAAGATATCGAACCCACAGGGTCTGATATCAAACTAATGTTATCTAATGTTACTGTGTAAATCGAAGGCTATTTATCTTGGGTTTGAGGAAAATGGGAAATAAATTAAAATTTTAATAAAAATATTCAATAACAGGACACCGGTATGTAAATCATCATACTTCGGGGATTCGATAAAATGTTGCGTATAAAAAGTGTCAAAATACTTTTCGGTAGAAAATATTGATTTAAAAGACTTTATCTCACACTGTCGTGCTATTGACTCTGACTATACTCTTAAACCATAATGCTTTTCTATCGCTCACTCATTTGAATTAAAAGTAATATTTGGAAATCAATAAGTTCTAATTAATCCTAAAGTGTTATCGTTGTGTTTAGGATGAATGCCTAGATTCTACTATCCGATTAAGATCTCAAATTGTCGTTCTATTTACCCTAACCTTTACTAGCTTTTTACTCTCGTACAAAAACTGTTTTAATTTTAGAATTAAAAATATAACCAGAAAAATAGTTTGTAAAGGTTAACGCCAATTATTACTGAATCTCGTACGGACGACTATTCTTACATACCAGTATCAAATGGTTTAGCCGGACATAGTTTTGAACATAAGCATGCTGTTATGATTATAAAACATAAAACAAAACATGATTTTAAAAACAAGAATTAATTTGTTTTTCAGTTGTAATAGTATAGAACAGGAATTCATACACAGTATCGAAATAATCATACAATAAAATATGCAATTAAAAATAGAACCTGGAGATAATGCAAAAACTGGAATAACTTCTTAAGTTAATTTCGCGTACAATAACAGAAACTACGGTTTGATTATTCCGGCACGCTTGATGTTTAAAGTACAAAATGTAATTAAAATACTTAAAAATAATGTTGTGATAGTCCCCCGATGTGGAAGAGCTATCACTATTATAAGTAAATTTCTACTTAAGAATCTAAGAACAATACTCTGGATGGAAAATGACGAGACCCCAACTATATGTGTGAGTCCCTATTTATAATGTAATTCTTCCCTTGAAAATCTGATGGTCAACGCGAATTTAGGATGGTTGGGTTGAACGAGAAAGACGGGGTCGTGGAGAGAATCAAGGAGAAAGGAGAAAAAGAAGGGCATGTGGAGCTTAGTGGTGGGTGCCATATGAGAGAGTGGCGGGTGCCAGTCATTGCTTTATGGCGGGCGGCTAGGGAGAACGTGGCATGAACCATGTTTTGAAATCCTCATGGGCCTTGGGCTGCTCTGGGCTTTTTTCTCTGGGCTTTTTTGCTCTTTTCTATTTTTTTTTTAATTTCTTCTTTTATTACTCAAATCTCTTCTGTGACCAAATATGTTTGAGGTACCTGAAATAGGACAATAATAGCGGTATAACAAGACATAAATAAATGAAAACTAGACTAAAATCCATGCTTGAACCTTTTCTTATCCTCAAGCAAATAACCAATATGGTAATCACACTAAGAACATATTTGAAACAAAAACACAACAAAACTCAAATAATATGTGGTTGTGAGGCTTTTCTGGTATATATATATGTACTGAATGTCAATACCAAGGATACCTTAGTGACACGAAATCACAAAATGCGATAAAAAACTCCCTCCCTATGAAAACCAATCCGAATCACTCTATTATAAATTAAACTATTTCTTTTGTTTTCTTTTGCCCATATTCATTCAAATGCAATCACATTAAGCCTTTTATTCATGCATACTCGTTGTAAAAAGACCGGTTAGTGACTGTTGCACCCCAAAATTTTCCCTCTTTGTTCTAACCATAATTGTCTTATTTTTCATCATCATATTCATACATATATGTCATTTTTAATGCGGCCACGAGATCTAAGTGTTTATCTCTCAAGAGTTACAGTGGACGCTTGTTCCGTTAGTTGATACAGTGAAGTATACCTCAGGGTTTTCTGCATTTAAATGCATTCTGCACAGTTTCCAAGCTATTGAATCAGCAATCAATTAATTTATCATCATATCAAGCTCTCATGTGCTTTGGTACACTTTGAATTGCACAAAAAGTTAAGTGTTTCAATCTATTTAAGACGGTGCAAACATAAATTCAATATCTTGCAGTTCAAGGTCAAAAATTTGTAACTTGAGACCAGAAAATGGTTTGGGAATGGTTCCCTAGTTGTTAAAATCGTCTGTTCAAATTGAAGGTTAATTTTGTGAGGAAGATCTCCAAAAGCGCAAAATACCTGAAATCACGATATACAAAGGATTTGTTGGTTCGCTGGTTTTCAAATGCTTAAAAATTCTCAATTTCTGACCGGAGAATCATCTTTGAGTGGCTCTTGGAGTATTTGAACAATCTTGTTATTTGCTTCAATTTTCGTGTTTTTCTCGGAAGCCAATTCATTGATGAAGATCTCCAAATGTGCGAATACTCTGAAGATATATAGTGAAAATACTGTGAAAATGGCATGTTGAATCTCTGTTTATCGGATGTTCAAAAATTCATAACTTTCACCCAGTTCGACATTTTTGTTCGGTTCTTTGAGAGAAAAAATTATCTTAACTTTATCTTCGATTTGTATATTCAGGTCGTAAGTTAATTCTTTGAAGAAGACCTTCGAAAGTGCAAATTACCTGAGAAAATTGCGTCCCGTAATGGTTTTCTGTCGGACCGTTTCTCGATAGTGAAAAATTCGTAACTTTCTTAATTTTTATCGGTTCAGGACGATTCTTGAAGCGTGAGATCACAGATTTTATTATATACAACTTCGTTTCAGGTCTTGAGTTCGTATTGCGCTTCGAGGGTTTCGGTTTGTGGATCGCTTCCTAAAGTGCACACGGAAATAAGCTGAAATTCCACATGCAGCCAAAAAAGATCACTATTTCTCGCTATTCAAAAAATTATAACTCATTCTATTTTCATCGTATCGGGGCAATTCTTTCAAACGACGTTATAAATTTTGTCGCCGACAATTTTGTTTTAGGTTGCACATCAAGATTTTGAACCGAAATTCATGAGTTTGTGGTTTGTTGGCGAATAGTACACAAAATAAGCTGAAAAAACCGCACGACGAAGTTTAAGACTCGAGTTCTCTCCATTCAAAGCATCGTAACTTGCTCAATTTTTATCGTATCGGGATTATTCTTTCGACACGACTTCAAAAATTTCGTCATCAAAGATTTTTTTTCAATTTTCACATCAGGATTATGCACCGAAAGTCAAGAATTTAGGGATTTGATATCAACCGATACATGGAATAAGTTGAAAACTCAGCATTATGTCAAAAATACGCAAGCCAAACAAGACTTAGGGCATTGTGTATATATTCTTTCCACTCAATTTCTAAAGGGGATCTTTCTCATTACACACAAAATTACTCAAAAATATTAAACTCTCTCAAGAACTCAAGAAAATTCAAAACTTCTTCTCCCTCAAAGAAGCAACTCGTGCCCGCAAATCTCCTTTCCTCTGGCACCACTGCGCCCGTCATCTCCCATCTCTGGAACTCTCCACCCCTACTGCGGTCGCCACCATTCTCCCGTGCTCGCCACTGTTCCTCAGTGACAACCCCCTATGTCACACGATCTCTCCCTCTACGACATACTCCCTTGCTAACGCCCTCCCTCCGGCTTCCATTTCCGGCAAAATCTCCGGCCAGTAGCTCCCTCCGTCAAGGTGCTCCCTCTGTGCACAGCCTACTCTCTATCACCGTATCTCCTCTATTTCATAAGCTTCTACAATCGGATCAGTTCTCCGATCAACACATTTGAACAAATTCCAGTAACTTCTTGATTTAATTCTTGAATTGATCTTAATTGTTGAATTGATTCCATGTGTTAAATTTTGTATGAAGTGAATTCTTGAATTGTGTAATTAATTAGATCTTGATGTTTTTAATGTTAAGATTTGATGGATTTGGTTGATTGATCGAACATTTATGGAGCATACACGTCGAAATTGATAGATCATGCATAATTTTTAATTTCCGCATCGTAATGTGATTGCGATTCATTATCCCTTGATAATTTCTTAAACTCGTGAATCATAATTAATTTTATAGTTTCTTAATCACTTTTGATGCATAAATTGATCTCGTTTCAATGCTTGATAATGGTGGTATGGATACCAATTCAACAGATGCATTTTGTTTGTAAATTCCGTTTAAGTTTCCATGTGTTGATATTCAAATTTTGTACATTGAAACATTGATTTTCTGATAAACTCTAGATGAATGTAAACATGTGAGCTATGATGTCCGGGATTTACAAATATACCATAAACCATGTGAGCTTGTTAACATAGTTGGTGGATACCGATATCAATTTCAATGGATTTTAAACCAGCATTTTTGAGCATTCCATGTACAATAAACATGTTGTTCGGAATTTGATCTCATATGTACATATTGCTTTAATTCTCATTTTATGTTTGCTTGTACATAATTAAACATTTCATGAACATTGGTAATGAGTTTTCTTGATTCCAATGCCTTTTTTCTTTTAATTCCATGTTTACGCATAGTGATGTCCGTATTTTCTTGATACATATATATTATGATTCCATACTCATTTAATGCATGTTTGTGTTCATATGTTTGATTGTTGAACAATTGTTGTTGATTTTTGTCGATTTTAACGCAATTATTCGAGCCATTCCATGCATTCATACCATGATGCCTGAATTTGTAAGTAAGTCTTCGAGCTTGATTTTCTTGTTGGTTAGCATACCATTTCAGTTACTTTAGTCCATTTGTGACATTTGTGATGATTCTGATTGATTTTAAATCTACTTTTCGCACACTTCAAATAGTGAAACAATGATGTCTGGATGAGTTAAACACATGTACATTTGTGTTTCAATTACCGTTTAATAGATGCATGATTGTATTTAAGTGTTTGAAAGACATCTATAATGGATTTAGTCGCCTTCGACTTGAGATTTTGAGCTATTTTTTGATTGAGTGTAGTGCTGCCATGTGTTCTACTTTCATGTTCGGATACTTGTTCGCATTTTATTTCGTGACCTTATTTTCAGTTGTAATATGATTGCTTGCATCCGATTATACTTTCTTGTTACCACTAACTCTTCTTGTGTGCTTGTGCAAGCTCCGAAAGGCTATTTTGCACCACGCGATTTCCGGATTACTTATATTTGTATAGACTATATCTTGTGCAGGATTCTTATATGATATTGGACATGCGTGTGATTTGATTTCACATGGATGATGTTTCGCTGCTCATTATTATTATCTAATTTCTAACTATGTGCTTTATTGGTGAAGCTTGTACGAAGTTTTCTGGGTTTCTTTGCTTCGTCTGATAAATTGACAAATTGTGTTCGATTGGTATTCTCTTTTATTCCCTTTACATATGTATTGTCTTTCTGTTTCCTTGCCATGAGAAGTAGGAATAGAGATGCACGACTGGGAGTCCCTACTTTAGGTGGGAAATATTATTTTAAAAGACCTTTAGAAGGCAATTCCTACTTGTGCTTGCTTTTTTAAATTCCTCGACCAAGGCGATTATGTGTGTTTAAATTTGTGCCAAAGACCTTAAAGAAGGCATTCTCATTCCCATTCCCCATTGATAAAGTCATCAAAGAAGGCACAAGGTGGTGTAAGGTTCTGCAATCGACCCCCATCATTTCTAGTCCCCAGGTCATTCATAGCTCACGTTGCACATCGATGCTATGAATAGTGTTACTTTTATAATCGAGTCGGTCAAGTGGAGAAGAGGGTTTACAATCAACCCCAACAATTTTTCATTAGCTCACATTTGTAAGCGTTGATGCTTCGCTGTGATCTCATTATTATCTTCTATCTCCTATCTCGATGACTTGATATCTTGGTTAGGTGTTTAGTCGCCTATGATGATTCACTTTCGTTCTTCTCTTTCCTAGATGACATGATATCTTGGTTAAGGGTCGACACCCCCTATTCTTCTTGCCTTGATGACATGATGTCATGGTTAAGAGCTATTCATTCCCCCGTTTTTGCTCACCTCGATGACTCAATATCTTGGTTAAGCCCCCCTTTATCCTACCTTGATGACATGATATCATGGTTAGGTTTCCTACTTCCCTTATCCTACCTCGACGACACGATATAGTGGTTAGGTGTTATCCCTCTCCTTCCCTACCTTGATGACATGATATCATGGTTAGGTGTGTGCTACTTGAGCAAGTGGACACTCCTTAAGCTTTGTATGTTTGCTTTCTATTGCGTGATCACATCTTCTCCCCTAGGATTTTTAGTTCACTCTCTTTCAAGTTTGAACTAATTACACCTTAGGCTTGAATATATGCACGCCAACACTAGGTAGATTATCCCTTGGTTAATCCTAACGTCAGGACCATCATTGTATAATAATATTAGGGATATTACTGATAACACAAAAAATATAGCATTTTCCGTCCAAATTACATGGATTAAATTTCCGATTCTTCGATTATTATGTCACATTTTATCCCTTTTTTGTAGTTTTTGAATCATACTTCAGGTACTTAGCATTTGCAAGGCATAAATAAGAAAAGTAAGAAAAAGAATGGAAAAATGAAGAAGAAATGGTTTTAAAACAGCAAAATGCAGTTCTGTAGAAGAGAAGCGTGCCACCCGCCACAAAGTCATTACGAACGACACAAGATAAGTTTTTGTGCCCCTAGGCACATGCATGTTACGACTGGGACGAGTTGAATTTCTGTGCCCCTCGGCATACTCATATTACGACTGGGACATATGTGGATTACGTGCACGATCCAAGTAGTTACGAAGTCTTCGCCAGTAGAGAATAATAAGCACACGTCATCTGCATTTTCTCTGCATGAAGAACGTGAATCATGGAAGTTACCTATTTTTCCTAAATAAAAATGGACTCTATAAAAAGGAAGCAGTTTCCAATTTTCCCTCTCTCTTTGGCCTGCACTTTGAACAAAATTTGTTACGAAGTTTATTTTTCTGCTGAACATTATTTAGATTGTATTCTGATTTTTACTTTCGAGTTTTAGAATTCCAGCATTAATCTTCCAGTAGTAGTATTCTATAGGCAATAAAACCTCACTGTCAGAGCAATATTTTTCCACATCGGAGAAATACTTCAACATTAGTTTGTTTCCAGACCTCCATAATTGTTTAGGATTACTCTGACTTTATTCGACCTATTTTACTTAAAGTCAATCCTGCCGGCTTGTGGAGGACATACACATTATTGGAATTTTCTGCTTTGTATTCCCTTCCAGGTTCTTATTTTAATAAGCATATTTATTTATTCTCTGCTATGCATGCATTGTAGAATTTATATTTTAATTTTATGATGTTTTTCAATAATATTTTGTCCAGCTAGATTCCCTCTACCGGTATGTAGAACTTGACCGGAAAGGGTTCGATAATTAATTGGTGCTATTATTTTTATAAAAAGAATACTTTTCTGGTTTTAATTTCTAATTGAATGTTTAATAGTTTTTGTACGGAAGTAAGAAACAATCTAAGGTTAAAATTCAATAGAGTGGAAGTTTAAGGTTTTAACCAGATAATGGTCATTGAAACATTGATTTTAAAAATAGCGGAAGCGCTTTAAAGTTAATTGAATCTTATTTGTTTTCAAAAAATACTTTTGAGTTTTAAACGAAACAGGGGAAGCTCTCATTTCGAGCTTAACTGATATGATCTAATTCAATAGAACGGAAGTATGAGACGAAGGTTTTTAAACAAATAGTTTCACCAAAATTGTGTTTTAATACTAAAAACAAATGCCAATGATGTAGTGAACCCCTTAAGTTAACGAAATACATACCGGTGTCCTTCATTAATTATTAAATTCTAGTTAATTCTCAATTAAACCCAAACATTCAAATTTATTATTAGCCTTAGCCCTACATAGTAACCTTTAGATAACAGTAGTTTTTGACTATCAGTCCTTGTGGGTTCGATATTTTTTAAAACTACGCGATAGACTGTGCACTTGCAGTCACTACACTCGATAGACTCATAAAGTCGCGATCAAGTTTTTGGCACCGTTGCTAGGGACTGAATTAGTCGAATACTTTAAATCCCTTGTTACACAGTATAGACTAAGGAAACCAAATTTTTTTTTTTTACCGTCGATTGTACGCCAAGCACCCTCTCTAAAGACAAGGAATTAAAACAACCAATCCACGAAGTTGAGCATTTTGTTAGCATAAGACACCAAATCAGAGAGTACCAAGCCAAGTACAATCTTCCTGAAATCAATCTTCCTAACTTTTCTCTTCCTGACCCTAAAATGGCTGAAGGACCCCAAAATCATCCTCGGAAGGATTATGCTGCCCCATCGTAAGAGGAATCCCACAACAGTATTTCTACTCCCACTATCGCACATAATGATTTCAAACTAAAGCCTTCACTGTTGCAAGCCGTTCAATAAAACCAATTTTCAGGATGTCCTACATACGATCCAAACCTTCATTTATCCGTGTTTGTGCAGTACACAGACATAGTGAAAGAAAATGGAGTCATCCCTGAAGCGATAAGACTCCGTCTTTTTCCTTTTTTGCTAAGAGATAGAGCTAGAGCATGGTTCCAGTCTCTACCATCCAAATCCGTTACCACATGGAATGGATTGAAGAAAGTTTTCCAAGCGTGGTATTTTCCACCGAGTAAGACGACTATGCTGAGATCTAATATAAATGGTTTTAAACAAAACGAAAGTGAATCTCTTTTCGAAGCATGGGAGAGATACAAAGACATGTTGCAACTCTGTCCACATCACGATCTAGAGGAATGGCTGATAATCCACAC